CCCCCCCCCGGCCTGCGGAAGACCTGGGGACCAGCAGACCGGCCCCAGGTAAGAAGAAGTTGCTGACCCCTGGTCTAGATCTAGGAAAGCAATGGTAACACTCTATTTTGCTTTGGACAGACCTCACCTGGAATACTGTGTCCAGTTCTGGGCACCAGAATTCAAAAAGGATGTTGATAAGTTGGAGCATGTCTGGAGAAGGGTGATTAAAATGGTGAAAGGCCTGGAAACCATGCCCTATGAGAAGAGATTTAGGGATCTGAATGTGATATGATAGCCCTGTTTAAATATTTGAAAGGATGTCATAGTGAAGATGGGGTAAGTTTGTTTTCTGCAGCTCTAGACAATAGGATCTGGAGCAATAGATCTAAAAAACTACAAGAAAAGAGATTCCACTTCAACATTAGGAAGAACATCCAGACAGTAAGAGCTGTTTGACAGTGGAATATGCTGCCTTGGAGTGTGGTGGAGTCTCCTTCTTTGGAGGTTTTTAAACAGTGGTCATCTGTCAGGGGTGCATTGATTATGTATTTTTGCATGGCAGGTGGTTGGACTTGTTGGCCCCTGAGGTCTCTTCCAACTCTATGATTCTAATTTTAAAAGAAAAAGAAGAAAAGGTCCTTTAATTTTTCCTGGATATCTCCTGGATTCCTCTCCCCGAGGCCTTTATTTCTGTAGAAAAAACTTTAAAGATGTCTGACAATCTCTGTAAGCTTGCATATTCATTAAAGGTACAACCTACTCCACAATTAAGCATCCTAACTGCACATCAAACTTAAGTTCACTTAAATATACAGTATATGGTACCATTCCTATGTGTACCTAACGTTTCAAACCCCCACACAATTGTTTTGTTTTCAAGGCAATCTAGAATACTGTAAATCACACACACACATGAAATCTGCCACACCAAGTCCTTTTAAAGCCGAGTGAAACATAATATGACATAATACATGCATCATTTTCCTGATTAACTTTGATGAACCTCCAGTCATTATCCATTATAGTAACAGTAAATTGGAAATGCTGCTTTATTAGTGTAACATATATAGGCAGTTTTTGTGAGTCATAGAATTAATGGCTGCTAACATTTGGCACTGATAATGAAATATAATATTTTTGCCTTTCCTTGGAAGTAAATTAGAATACACAACTGCAATTACACATCCACTGCATTATGCAAGAGAATAGCTAATTCTATGTTGCCATTGTACTTTTTTATTAGAGAAGTAAATGAACTGAATCATCGCTATACCTATGGTTATGAATGTAAGACGTCTTATGCCAATTTTAAAAAGGTTGAATGCAATTACCGGTAATCATTGTTTGTTTTCCTTTTCCTCAGCTATACTGAACTATACAGGGGCATTCTGTGAATGATCAGTATCCTTTAAAGGAAGCTGAACCAATGTCTTAACAATGCACTTGCAAACATTTGTTTTTGTGCATTTTTACAAGGTGAAAAAGAATCATATGAAGTAATAGCCAACATAAAGTATTACAAAATAATCCCAGAGAACATGTTTTTAATTGTTTGCTTTTCCATTGTGAAGATTGCAGATCTGACACCTTATGCATCAAATATTTGGATAGCTGGTCTTAGAAAAGGGTTCATTACCTTTCTAAGGTGTTCATGAACAGAATTAATCCTGTCACATTGAATCTAGTTTCTGTCTAGTGGATGTTACCAGAAGACTCTGCATGTTTCTACTGGGGTTTATATGGCAGGTTTTCATGGTTAGGACAAATCATAAAAGCTATGAAGGATGGAAAATCAATATATCCAGCTTTAAAATTGCTGGGAGGTAAAGTTTTAAAACTCATGCTGCAAAGTGAAAAATGAAATTTAACCAGGCATTTTGGTGAAGAAGTAATTTATTGGATGTGAGATGAAAAGCTGTGAGAGTAAACATCAATCTCTTCTTAGACACATGTCACTGATTGATGTTTGCTCTGCACAGCAGCCTAGAGGTAAACTCTTTGAAATAGCATAGTAAGTACTTTATCTCTCTGAGGGAAAGAACACAGTTTTTATGTTGTGTGTGTGTTGTTGTTGTTTGTAAAAAGATCTGCTACATCTTCATGTTCAATCAAAGGGAAAACTGTAAATCAGTGTAATTGTTTTCCCCTGTGGCATTTCTGTCTTTAAAAGGCAGAAAAATATTGTGGAACCTTCAAATTAACTTCTGTTTGAACTAGGTGAAAAGTCTAAAAAAATCACATTCAGCCCAAGTGTAGCATTTTATTAATCATGTCACCAGTCCATCAAAAGCTGGTACTTCATTTTATTTCCACTGTGGCTTTCTCCTTTCACTTCAAAATGCTTTTAGCACTGAGGCATGTAAAGCTTTCACTTCTGGGAAATCACCATAAGCCATTAGCCCACACAGAGTTTATAAGCACTCATTATTTTTATTTAGCTGAAAGTGAAACTGATGTCAACTGATTGGTCAGCAGAGGAGTACATGACCGATCAAGAGAAAAGCAAAAGTAATCATGCCTATTGGATAGCCATCCTCTTTTAACAAGATTACTCCATGTTCGTACATTCATATATGGATATATGAAGCTACCATACAAAGTTAGACTGTTGTTTCACCTAGCCTGTTACAAGCTCTTAAGTATTGTATTATGAGAGATGGCTAATATCCAAGAGGACAGGATCAGATAGAAAATAATGTCAATGGATTGGAGAGCTGGGATAAAACAGACAAGATTAAATTTCAACAGGGATAAATATAAGGATTACATCTAGGCAGGAAAAATGAAATACATTAATATAGGAAAGGGGACATCTGGCTTGATAACAGTACATGTGAAAAGAATCTAGGCAGCCTAGTAGACCACAAGTTAAACATGAGTCAGCAGTGTGATGTGGTTTGCCAAAAAAGCCAATGCACTTCTAGGCTTTATCAATAGGAGTATTGTGTTTGGATCAAGGGAAGGAATAGTATCATTCTATTTTGCTTTGGTCTGACCTCACCTGAATACTGTGTCCAGTTCTGGGCACTGCAGTTCAAGCAGGATATTGACAAGCTGTAACATGTTCAGAAGTAGGTGACCAAGATGGTAAAAAGTGTAGAAACCAAGCTTTATGAGGAATGAAGGGAGCTGGTATCTTTTATTTAAGAATATAAGATTGAGAAGTGACATGATAGCCATATTTAAATACCGGTACCTGAAGAGATGTTACATAGAAGGTGGACCGAGCTTTACTTCTGTTGATCCATAGACTAGGATACAAACCAGTGGATTCAAATTACAAGAAAAGAGGTTCCACCTGAACATTAGGAAGAACTTATTTACTGTAAAGGGTCTTCAACAGTAGAATAGATCACCTCAGAGGATAATGGTCTTTCTCCCTTCAGAGTTCTTGAAACAGAGTTTGGATAAGTATCATTCAGGAGTGCTTTAGTTCTGGATTTGTATGTGGCATTCGAGTCAACTAAATGGACCTTGTGATGCCTTCCAATTCTATGCTTCTTTGTTTCTATGATGTACTCTTATCAAATAGGAAGTCACAGGTAGAGGTAACTGTTATTAGCCAGGAGACAAACTAGATGTTCAGTGTAAAACTTCAGTTTCTGTCAGAAACCTAAAAATTGTGTGTCAGTGCCATCACTAGAGTTGGTGTCATCCCAGTGTGGTAACTCATGCTGAGTAACTCATGCCATCTCTAGGCTTGGAGCCACTAGGCCAATGGTCCCTCAGGAGTAGATTGGACAACTATGAAAGAGAAAAACTCCAGTCTACTTTCTGCTGATGGCTGGGTGGACCAAAGGGATTGTCCTTTAGGAGTTCCCTGTGGCATGCCAACAGCATCCTGCCTGGCCTCCTTGCTGCCTCCAAGTGGACTGGTTTCTTTTCAGGACCTTCAGTGTCTGAGAGTCCCAGTCTACCTGTGGAGAAGCGTGATCGTACATTCCACACTGGAAGACAGACACTCTCCTCTGAGATGTCACCCAATGCAGTCGCACCCCACGGCACCCCTTGCACCCCCTAGAAACACTACTGCTGTTCAAGGCAGGGAAAACAATTTAGATGGGAGAAGCATGGGCAGGAGTGGTTATATTAACCCTTCCATGCACATTTTTCTAATTAATTTATTTTCTTTATATCCCACCTTTACTCCAATATTGAGAAACCTAAGGGGGCTTGCAACAGGATTAAAAACAACTACAAGTTGAGCATGTTAGGTAAAGCATATCAGAAAGGGGGGGGGTTACAATCCTCCCTTCCCTTAAAAGCCACTTTTTACCAGCTAATCTGCTGGATTAGAAATCTGTTCATTCCCTCTCCTGTTACTTTCCCCTTAGAGACTGCTTCTGCCACAATTGGGGGAAGATAAAAGAAGGGTGAAGTAGCAGAGAAAGAGTACTCACCCCTTCGTGCTCCTATAACACTAGGGTTGCCAAGTCAGGAGTACCCCAAATATCCGGATATTTGCTGGAAGTCAAACTCGGCAAAATCCTCAAG